CTCCAGTACTGTGTACAATACTCCAAGCGAGGTCCCACCAGTGTTCTGTACAATGGCATGAGCACTTCCCTCTTTCTACTGCTAATACCTCTACCTATACAACCAAGCATTCTGCTAGCATTTCCTGTTGCTCTATTACACTGTCTGCCTACCTTTAAGTCATCTGAAATAACTACCCCTAAATCCCTTTCCTCAGATGTTGAGGTTAGGACTCTATCAAATATTCTATGATTTGACCTTGAGTTTTAACGTCTTGCACTTATCTACATATCTACCACAGTAAAAGCCAACAGGAAAATCAAAAGATTTCCGTGACTGGCCTTACACCTCTTGAATTCCTTGGGTGGGTACATCTTTTTTAAGTTTTCTCCAGTAGTCCTGGACAGGAAGGAGCTTTTATAGTGAATTGCACCTGCCGGAAGGGCTAACCACAAGCTCTGCCCACCATAACACCACAGAGTAGCATACAGTCCCACCAGACCAGCATGAAGCAGAACAAAGACTGCACAGGACCACCAGGCAGCAGTATAAAGATCACACTGGACCAGCAGTGTACTACCAAAGATGGGGAGGGAGGCAAATCAAAATGTTTTGACAAATGTTTTAATTTGTAGCTTGTCTGAAAAAAAACAAACACAGCATTCCAACACAAATTAAACATGCCTTCCTCAGCGACCCACATACATCATAGAAACTACCCAGATACAGCCACACACATCGCACAGTTGGGATGTGATGAGGAGACTATGGGACCCAGCCAGGGTTGCATTGGCCCTGCATACATAATTTATCATTTTGTTCAAACGTGGGGTTTTGTTAAGGTCACATAAAAAAAGATGATGTTTTGGTGATACAAATAAATAATATTTCCAACACTAATTTTCCCGCTTGGATCAGTGCAGTTATTTCGCAAAATCATATATCATGAATATGCTATTTGAGTGCTACAAAAATTACAAACAAATAACAAGTTGGGAACAAGTTGTTGCTTCTTTTTTTCTAGGCACTGATTGTTCTTTGTCATGTGCAGACTACACAGTGACTCCGACCTTGACCCAGCCATCCACCCAAAACTATGATGTTCTGATAACACCTAATTGTTCTACAAAAAACAGACTGACTTTCGAAGCAACTTTGTTATTTGGACAAATCGACAAGGAAATACATTTTGGGTGATTTGTCAATATTAAGAATGAATATTAAGAACTGTTTTTGTTTCTGAGAATTAAAAACTACATTACATCCAAGTCTATACTCTTTAACCACTCTCTGGGCTTTTTTTTTTTAATTAATCAGTCAATTCATCATGTACATATAATAGAGATCTCTACTTTTATAAAACGGGAGAGAAACATTAATATTTCTCTTACTCAATCAGATCGGATTCAAGTAATTCATTTAGTTAAACGTAGTATACATTGTATTACGCTACTCAAGTTTCATTTAAAAATACAGATGGCACCTGGTGACTGTCCTACTCCGTAAAATCTCAGAAAAATATTCGGAGAGTTGTTAGAGATGTTGTAGTAGGGATGGCACCATTTACCGTATCTGGTGGAACTGTGAAAGCGGACAGGATTTTAAAAAACATTTGTCGGCTCTGACTAATACTTTATTTCAGGAATCAATAAATATTTCTCCTCAATTCTTCTTATTTAATATAGGTCTCTCTTGTCAAAATAAAGCTTGGGAATATTTATTTACACATATGTAATATACTACTTGCCACTAAGATTTGTATTGCATGATCTTGGAAAAAATCTACTCCTTTAATTTGGAAAGATGTAACTGACCAAACAGAATATCAGCATAGGATGGAAAGTAATTTTATTTCCCCTTCGGCACATTTAATTTCATATTTAGACCTATGGTTATCCTGGACTATATATATAATGAGACTCCGTAATTGATGCTTGTCTTTTTTCTCTTTTGTCCCCCTATGAGAACTGCACCACACTGAGACTGTGTTTGGTAGTCTTTTTCAATTTTTAGTTTTTTCCTTCGTATATTTGTAACACATGTTTTCTACTGTGCATTGCGTATTTAAAAAGTATTATTTTTAATTAGGGATTATTCTAGCCTCGGTGAGGGAATAATCTAAATTTTATTAAAGACAGGAGGCGAATATTTGCTTTACCTCCAGCAGCAAAGAAACAGTTAACAGAACTTTTCAAAACAACCAATCAGAACAAAGTAACATTAGTATAAAACCCCTAAGCAGGCTCTTCCACTTCCTCTTTCTTTGATGAGGTCGAGCAGGAGAGCAAGGAAACCAACGAAGCCACCTTGTAGCAGACACATCCAGAGAAACAATCGTCAAGCCCAGAGAGAAAACAGATTACACTGCAAGAAAACAGAAAACATTGTGAAAGTAAACTGTCAAGGCAAGATGACATATCCATACAATATCACTCTCACATCATAATACCTGATGAATAAACAAAGTCTACAGATCTTATGAAGACCTAGTATGTACCTAAGCTAAAAGGCATTGACGAAACATAATTACAACAAAACATGATGAATAAAACGCACACGGACAACCATCACTGAATATTAGAAATAACCTTTATTATGTAAAACCATGCATTCACAAAACATAACAATATCCACAATTATTTATAATAGAATAAAACCCAGATCCAGGGAGGGAACGTAAAAAAAGGGGGGGAAATATTCGCCTCCTGTCTTTAATAAAATTTAGATTATTCCCTCACCGAGGCTAGAATAATCCCTAATTTTATGGCAGGACAGGAGGCTTCATATTTGCAATTTTAACGCCCAAATAGTAGAACCAGAAGCAATATGAGATAGAGGACTGAAATAAAGGAGAATGGAAAAACTGATTCCCTAAACCAAGCAGCGGTGTAGAGAAAATGCAGAAGGGACCCAACGGCTTCCAAAATTGTTGAGGTGACAGCACCCCGAACCAAAAGTGTCCCAGAGGAATTCAAGGTCAGTCAATGAGAGGATCCACCAAATCCAACGGGCGAGCGAAGATGTAGAAACAGTCCAAAACGGCAGTACGCAGAAATAAACAGCTGTCCATGAGTAGACGGACGAAAGAACCAGATCCTGGATCTACATGGTCGTGTACAATCTGTCAACAGAGCCGTGGCCTATGCGGAGAATAGGGGTACGACACAGAGGACGAATAAAAATGAAATATGTGTGGAGCAGAAGCCGATGTACTGAACGGCAAGAAGGAAGAAGACACGTCGATACCATGACGTCAGAACGCGATGAAATACAAGATGTACTGGGGGGAAACCGTAAGCGGAAAAAACTGGTGCACCTTGTCATCAGGTCATTCCTCAATGAAATGCAGAACACACGATACCACTAGACTTGAGGAATAGCGAGAGATAGGGCTCCCGTACGGTATACTCCTCTTGGTAGACTGCAGACCAAGAGATCCTTAGCAATGCCAGAATCTTGAGAAAACGCACATGAGTCGTCCACTAGCTGACATAGGACGTGAATGGCCCCATACGATCCTACCCTGAGAGGGCAACTCAGCCAGACAATGGGGACAGCCATGATAAGGACCGCCATTGGGACCCAAACACCAGTCTACCCCTGTGGATCCCACGTGGGACATTAAGAGACAGGGAGTCGTAGATTGCCTTCCCACGGCAAACTCCAGCAAAAAGGGGAAAGCACGCAGGACTCCTCCGAAGTGGTTTGGCCAGGCGAAACGACACTTCCAGGAATTTGGTCTGAAGCAAAACCCAAAGTATCCTGTAGGTAAACGGGATGTGTACACCCCGAAGGAGACCAAGCTTGGAAAACTCGTCCCTCGCCTCGCTGAGGGTCCAGCAGCCAGTTGGAGAACCGCTCCGTATGGCGGTTCGCACCGAATGTAATCATGCCAGTACTCGAGACCCCGGAGAGTGAGGCAACCAATCATTGGGGTCTCTCCATGGTCGGGTGAAGCCGTCCGCCACATGAGTGTCTCGTCCCGCATACATTCTGTCACAAATGACGAATACTTGTCGAGAAGCTATAGATAGCGATCCTATGTTAGATCTGACTGCAGTCCGTAGTGGGCAACCGGTGAGAAGTCCATGCCGGAAGGTAGCGAGCAATACTGTGAATGTTGAACAAACCTGCAGGTAGTTCCATGCCTCCTCCGGAGTCATCATTTAAGTTTTAGATGAGCTTCATCCGAAGGTCACATGATTTGGTCATACCAGGCCGAAGACCCGAGAAAGCGCCATGTTGGAGCGGCTGATAGTACCGGATCCTGGAGGTATGACTTCTATGGCGAATAGGCACCGGTCAATTAACCGGGTTGGGTCCCTAAGTGTAACCCGTGGGTTGCGGAGCATATACCTGGTGTTTTCCTTGAAGACGGACATCTTGGTCCTCGGGAGCCGGAGCACCGCCTGGACCGAATATTCCATGAAAGACCGGAAACTAGGTTTACTGGGAGTGAGTCAGATTCAATATGTCCATGTTGATGGCAAAATCCATGTGGGTTTCTCTCATGTGCATTTGAGGGAGAGAACCAATCGTCAACGCCGAGCAACTCTCAGAGGGGATGAGTGCGCTCCGTCTCAAAATGTGTCAACAGACGACATATGCACTGGGAGCATGTATCATGGGGATGGGGCGGGAGTCCACTCCATCGCACCCTTTGCCCAGCAGGGCAACTGTGGAATGAGTCGGAATGGATGCCTCTTTTGGTCATGCGTATTGCTCATGGAACGGTCCAAGGTTCCGCAACCTTGATCTGGAGTCCGGGCACGGTCCGAGAGACCTCTGGGGCAAGTTAAGGGGGAACCCTATGAATAGAGACGTGTCAGCTCAATTTGTACACGAGGGTAACTCTGGAGAGCAGACCCAGCACTTGGATGCTAAATCCATCAGTTTGATGTCCAGCTTGGACAGGGGCCGTTTTGCGGTTCTCCGGGGTAGAAACCAACTAGGCGATACCTATAAGTCATATCGGTCCATTCCCAGTGGGAATTTAGTCTTCTCCGCTTTCCAAGCGGTAACGCGCCGTTCGTCCCGAGGAAACATCTGTGTCCGCGTGTCACCGACATCCACTGGTTGGTCCCAGATAGAGTGCAAACCCTGTGTCAGGTGTTTGCGGTGTCCTTTCCGGACTCCGTCATGAAGACTGATCCTCTTGATGAATCCATCCGTTAGCCAACGAGTACCAGGGGTGCTTGGTGTAGCGTCTAGGATGGGCGGTGGAGTGTCCCCGTAGGGTACCGATGGTTTCTGGCAGTGAGGTCAGCGGGGCGGCAAGAGGACAGGCCAAGTGACCTTCGGGGTACAGGAGATTTGTCCTTCAGCCGTGATTGCACAACTGCCATAGAGGTAACACTGTCGGAATGATACCTCGTGTGGCCAGCTGGGGGTCACCCAGCGTGCAAGAGGGGGTCACCCAACAAGCACAAACGCCGCCATGCGAGTACCCTGAGGCATTTGGCGCAGGGGATCTGTGCTTAGCACCCCAAAAAGGTTTCGCACACAATTTCATAAACGCAAAACCCCGCCCCTTCACAAATCCCTGCTTATACATATAAGGCATCCCAATACAAAACCCCGCCCCTTCACAAAAAATCCTGCAGCCCCACACACACATTTACAGGCAGACAGTCACACACTCAGTTACAGGCAGTCACACACAGTCACAGGCAGACAGTCACACATACACATTTCCTCCGTGCGGCCAGTTTATCAGCTGTTTGCTTGTGTTTTGCACAGCTCACACAGCCCCCTCCAGCCAGGGCTGGTGCAAGGATTTTTGCCACCCTAGGCAAAAGTAAAGTTTGCCGCCCCCCCCATGTGACATCACAATGCCCCACCCATATGATATGCCATGTTAACTAACACCAATGCTGCAGTGCCGCTATGTTTACATTAAAAGGCCTGCAGGGACAGGCTATAGACACCAGAACCACTACATTAAGCTGAAATGGTTCTGGGGAGTATAGTGTTTCTTTAATGTGAGGTAAATTAGAGCTTAGTGCCACGAATAATATACTAGATTGCCTACTTACAACCAGATGAGGATGATGATGGGCTCTAGCTGCAGTCTGGCTCCACTGGTCTGGTACAGAACAGGCTCTCTGGAGGCGGTTTGTAACTGTGGTCACAAAAATCAATGTTCTGGGAGAACGGGAAGCAGCTCCATTTTTTGGGGGTCCTTTACACAGCTCAAGGTCTGGGTCCCAGGGTCCACCTTCATGTTCCACCAATGAGTTTGTTCACAGGGGGTGGAGTGTGTAAGGGATGTACTGATATGTGTGTAAGGAATATATTGTGTGAAATTGTGTTTGTATGTGTAAGGGCTGCAAGGTGTGTTTCTGTGTATGTATGGGATGCATTGAATGTGTGTAATGAATGCATTGTGTGTTTCTGTGTGTGTGTAAGGGATGCATTGTGTGTAACGGTTGCATTGCTTGTGTATGTGTGTCTGTGTGTGTAATGCATTGTGTGTTTTTCTGTGTGCAAGGGGTACATTGTGTGTATGTGATGAATGTCAATCTCTCCTCCCGCTCCAATTTCCTTCTCCTCCTCCCAATTTCTCTTTCTCACCCCCCCTCCTAATTTCTCTTTTCCCCCTCCTAATATCTCTCCCTCCCTCCTAATATCTCTCCCTCCCTCCTAATTTCTCTTCCCCCCTCCTAATTTCTCTCTCGCCCCCCTC